AGGAAAGAGGTGTTGCCTAATGTTCTGGTTAACCATTAATCTTAAGTTCTGTGAACCCGCGTCTTGGGGTATGGCCTTGCTTCTTCCCCAGCTGCCAGTGCTAGGCCTAACATATATTCCTTCTCTTCCCTGAGGGAGAGATGTTTTTTCTGTCCCTTCCCCAGCTGCAATGTTTTTCCACAGTGTCCCAAGATGACAGGTATTTTCTGTTGCTTTTGCCCTTCAGATTACAGTTTTATTTCTGTAAGAAAAATGTAGTAAATGAGAAGAAGTTTGGGGAGCAACTGTTACTTCTCCCACCATCCTCTCCCAGATAGTCTCTTTATTTTTGAAATTTTCTGTTGAATATTTCCTGGTCTTCACCGCGAGTATGTATGTGGTGGAGTTCATGGAGGAAAAGAAAGATGGTGAAAACCTTCTTGTCTATGCTTGTCTATGGCCCCCAGGGACTTCACATTCTCATACTAGCCCACTCTTAGTGTTTAACAATTCATTAAATTCACAAAGAAGCTGAATCTTATCAGTTTATATGGTATCTGATGACTTCTTCTCTAGGTTAAATAAAAAATTCTTGTATCCTGTTTTCTCTGTAAGAGGCTATATCTCCCCAGTTTTCTGTTTAGTATTTGCCCTGAAACCTCAATTCCCTAATGGGTTCAAGAAAAGTCATTTGTTTTCATTATGTCCAGCTTTACAGTTATTGTTATAATACTGGAAACCAGACTTCTTCTAGCTCTCTAAATCTCAGAGTTGAAACTGGAAGTCTATACAGCCACTTTTTAAAATAATTTGGAAGTTTTTAATAAAATCAAACATACAATTATTCTATGAACCAGAAATTCCATCCCTAGGTATATATATAGCCAAGAAAAGTGGGTGTATATGATCACAAAATGATTTACATGATAATGTTCCAAGCCAATTTCTTTAGTAATAATACAAACTGTAAATGGTTTGCCTATCAACAGGAGAATGGATGTAAAAGTGTGATATATTTATGCAATGGAATAGCATACAGTTATTTAAAATACTGATACATGTATAAACACTGATGAATCTAAAACACTTTAATGAAGGAAGACATAAAAAAATTTGTACTGTATTTTCTTAAAAGAAGTTTGAAAATGGGCAAAACTTATCTCTGGTAATAAAGTGAACATATTCATTACGCATATATTGTGAACATATAATTACTAAAACATAATAATTACTTCTGGATGACATTTTTGGGAAAGGCACATTAAGGAATTTCCTAAAGTGAGGGAAATGTTCTATATTTTTATTTGGATAGTGATTCCATGAGTTCATATTTACATAAAAATTCATCAACTTGTACACTTAAATTGGAAGAGAGAGAAAAAGTACAGAGGGAAAAAAAAGAGCAAAAAACACACTCAAGGGACTGCACAAGAAAACTATTGCTCAAAACCATTGACAGGGGAAAAGGAGAGGGCTACAATACTGTCATTTTTCTATAAACAGCAGAATGCAGATTCTGAGGTTTCAGAAGTTTATGTCATAGCCAGGTTCGCCCCTGCTTAGCTGGGTGGTGCTCTGGTGCAGGAGTAGAGCTGAGCCCCAGCAGTGGGCAGCCTGAGGATCCCCAGGGTCACACAGGGAGAACTGATTCTGCTGCTTGGAGTGCATCTAGGAGAGGTTATACAGCCTCTCTGCAGGCAAAGGACACTGTGGGCGCCATTGAGCTACACTAGCCACCAATATAGGAACAAACGCACCAGTGAGGGCTACAACTCCCCTCCAACAACTCTCAATTTGTTTCCTACAGTTAAATCTCTTACAGTTTGTCTCCCTCTCTGTTTTTTTAAATCTTATTTTATTTTCCTTCCCTTCCTTTATGCTCATCAGTTTTCTTAAATCCCATATATGAGTGAAATCATATGGTATATATTTTTTAATTTTTAATTTTCTTCTTTTCTTTCTCTTTTCTTTCTTTCTAACTTTTTTCTAACAAGCATCTCATAACAAGAAGACCAAAAGACACCTAGGATCTAGCTTCCTTTATGTATTTTATTTTACCTTATTTTATTTTTAATTTTTTCAATTTTTATTATTTATTTATTTCTATTTCTTTAATTCTTTTTCTTTTTTTCCTTTTGAAAAAAAAGCATGTGGAAAGACTATGTCAGACCTGTCCTCTCAGCAAACTCAAAAAACAAACAAACAAACAAATAAAAAAACTGAGCAGCCCTCCAACAGAGTTCTCAAAAAATATCTTCTCTTCCCTTATGGGGTAGCAGGGAGTCTACATATCTGGACTGTCTGGAAGCCAGGCTTTGGTGTGAGAATGGGCAAGAATGACTGAAGAGTATCAACAATGGCCCATAAATCACATTCTAGGCGAGGGTAGACTGGAAACAGGCAGCACCTGGAGGGTAATGGCCTGTGTTTTAGAAAATTTTGAGCTTTGAGAAACTTGTTAAATATCTATAGATCTAGAAGAAATATATATGTACCCATGCACAGTATCTTCCATTCCATTTCAATGGAGTCATATAATTGTGAAACCCACCTCTAGAGTCCTTTATAATTAATGTGCCTTTTGTTAAAACACCTTTGTTCAATCCAAGAAAGTAGTCTGAGAACTAAAACCAGATCAAAATAAAATGGTCTCTAGCTGAAGCTGTGGGGTTTGGAAGGTTGGAGAAGATCCATGGAGCAATAGTACACAGAGAAGGAGCTTGTTCTGAAGCACTTTGAATATGATGGGTGGTGATGCCATGGTGAGGGCACTGAGTCAGTTTAGGCAGGCAGGGATCATTAATTAAAACCTGAAATAAATGAGGCACAGCAAGTATGGGGGGGGGAAGATAGTGGATTAAGATAATGTTGAGTGTTAGGTACCTGTGAGATATCCACGTGGAAATGCCCAATAGGCAGCTGGAAAAAAAGATTTATCTTCAGGAGACAGGGTAGACCTGTCTAGAAATGGTTTTGAGAGCAATGGTATTGAAGGTGGCTGTTGAATCCATAGTCATACATGAAATCAACCAAAGAGAATATATGGAGTGAGAAGTCTAAGGTGGGGCTCTTGTAATCCCCATAGTTCACAGGAAGTATGGTGGACGATGTGTCCAAGAAGGAGGTTTGCCTATATTAATCACCCTCACTAGGTTAGCTATGGGCATCACTTCACAGTAAAGCAACATTAGGGTTGGCTTCATCATCTGTATGTCCTCTTAGAAAATCTTTATGTGATACTTGTGTATTATTCTTTATTTTTCTTTATCAACAGCATAGATAGATTTCACTTCATTAAAAATCAGTGATATGCATTTTCTCTCAGCTCACAATATTGAAAATGTAGAGGTAAAATACTTTTTTACAGGTAAATACTTAGGTTTATTCACAGAAAGAAATGAAATCCTTCACTGAAGGTGGTCCCACAAAGAGAAATTGATGTATGACCTATGTATAACTAAATTGTAAAAATGAATTTGAAATGTTTAAGGACTTTAAAAAATATGGTCCTTGAGGTTGTATACACTGCTTATTTTAGTTGTTTTAAAACATGATTTGAAGTCCATTCCTGAGGAACATATTGATGGGACATTATATACACACACACATGTGTGCATACACATGTAGGAGAATCAGAACCATACTAAATTCTTTTTTTTTAAATCTGACTACTATAATATTTTTGTGAGCCCAGAGGATGGAGTGAGGAATGACAGCTGTTTTATTTTTTATATTCTTCATGCTTATGCTGTTTTGTATATAGTAACAATGCTGTATCAGCACGATCATCATCAAAACTCACCATTAATAAGCACCCCTGATACACTATAGTTTATGTGATACTCTGGACACTTGCCTTTTGGAATTTACATAGTACTGCATATGAATAGGCAATCTCAGTCTCAACCCCTCTGCTTTATAAGAATGACCTTTCTCTCCATTTTTAAGTGAGACTGTGTTTTATCAGAAAAAGAGGTTAGAGGGTAAACCTTTACAGACTGGCTCTACTCACAAAAATGTCTAGCTTGAAAGAAATCTTGTTGAATTTAGTTTAAAAGAGGTATGTTTTTCTTTAAAGATTAAAATAAGTTCAGTATAACCCACCTAAACAAAAAATAAAACAAAACTCTGATAGGGTAACTAGGTGATGGGCATTAAGGAGGGCATCTGATGTGATGAGCACTGGGGTGTTATATGCAAATGATGAATAACTGAATTCTACATCTGAAACTAATGGTTGAATTTAAATAAAATTTAAAAACTAAAAAATAAATATAACTCAATGAGTTACTTTGGAAAGAAGGAACATTTTATACATAACTGAATTCAACCAGAATCTTTCAAACCAAATGATGAGACACACAAAATAATAATAGCTAGCACTTACAAAATGTTTTGCTGACTAACCTTAGGGGTTTATTTCCTTCGAGGAAACAAAATAAGTATAATATAAACCACGATAGTTGGTGTGATTGTGAAAACCTTAGAACACACAAGGAAAACATCTATTCATATTTCCAGTGATGCAAAGAAATGATTAAAATTTAAATATAATTTTCATGTTGCCAAGTAAATTGCTATCTACTTAGAACATAAACACACAGATACACACACACAATGATTAGTAAGAGTAGTCAAGATAATTCTTCTAAAAGAACATCCAAAATATTTGAAGTGTTTGTGGCAAAGTTAATTTATTGCTATAAGATATAAGCTATTTTTGCTTTGCCCAGATTTCTGTTTGTACCCTTCCCCATCATATGGGCATGTAAGACCAGATAAAATATTCAGAAGTCATTAAATAGGCAATGCTTCTCAAAATTTAATGTGCATGTACAGCATACGTATTTATATCAGGCAAACTGGATGGAAGTCCCTTTTATCTCAAACTATGATGAAAATGAAAAGATGACCCTGTTCTTACCTATTCCACTTTGGAAAAACTTCCCACCAATTTTGTGATTATCTAGTCAAGGGCACCTCAAAGTGGGACACTGTGTTTTTTGTCCTCTTGTACATACCATTAACACCATCACTATAACTCCCACTTAATGCTAGTTGAACATGTCCTATAAGCCAGGCACTATTCATGATTGCTCCATGAATTCTCAAACAACTTGAAAGTGTAAGTACTATTATTAGCTCTGTTTGCAGTGGGAGAACAGAAGAGAGAACAGAAGCTCAAATCTTCAAAAGATCATCCTGATAGTTTGTTTTGACCTCTCCCCATACTACTCTATGAATGATGTGGAATTTGATTACAATTCCCTTTGGAATTTCAAGTATTTCTTGATAATCCACTTGGCCAAATTGCCAAATTCATATTGAATTGCAAACCTCTCACCCTTGTGCTTAATTGATCTGGTAACTATTCTTCCTTTATCTTATTTAGACTTGCAAATTTTTATTTTAGTAACTGTATTTCTACTACATATGCAAGAATTTTAAAATACATAGAGAATAATGAGACCCTATCATGGGAGATATTCAAGCAGTCTAGATTGCTACATGCCTTGCAGAGAATTGATTCAGGTTTCAAGTGCAGATCATTTGAATTGTTTGTACAGTTCCTTTCAGACCTGGCATTACATTGTTCTGCCAGTGTTTTTACACACCTGAAAACATGGCATTATTAAGACCTTAAAATGTTCATATTCAGAAGAACATATTCAGACCTAATATATCAATATATCCATAGTTTTCACCTACCTTGGGAAAATCCCTATTTAACATTCATGAACATACTTTGGAATAGTAACATTCCACATGACTGAAACATTCCTGGTCTAATGTTATATGGAGACAAATACATAGATAGATGGATAGGTAGATAGATAGGTCCCAATTTTTACTTAATAATTAACTGTTTACATCTTAGAAGACTTTTTATTTTAAAATATTTATAGATTGACAGGGAATTACAAAGAAATGTACAAGGAGGTTTTACTAAGTTTTTAAAATTAAAAATTTTATGGGATTTTAAATTTCAAAAAAAGCGGGACACCTGGGTGACTCAGTCAGTTAAGCATCTGCCTTTAGCTCAGTTTGTGATCCCAAGTCCTAGGATTGAGTCCCACATTGGGCTCTTGTTCAGCAGGGAGCTGCTTCTCCTCTTCCTGCTGCTCCCCCTGTTTGTATGCTTTTGCTCTCTCTCTCTGACAAATAAAATCTTTAAAAAAATAAATGTCAAAAAAAGCATATACTTACTGAAAAATTTACCAGAGTCATAGGCATATCAAATGAAAGTGAAATATCTTCACCTTCATGTCACATTCTGCCTGGCATCACTATGAACAGTTTGGTGTGTGTCCTAGTTTTTTGTTTATATCATATAAGATTGACCATACAAAAAAAGTCAGTTTACAAACCATCCCATCTTCCCTTCCATCTCTGCATAGCTTTGTCTGTAATTCTTATGATTGTTAGTAACAATATACAGGTTCCCCCCAAAAGGTTACTCTTTTATAGGAAGACATAAGTAACAGGAAAAATGAAGGAAAACCACCATTTATGGTAGGAAAAGTTCTAAGATGACCTTCCAAAATCCTACCCTCTGGTACACAGTTCTACCATAATCCCCTTTCATTGAGTATGGGCAGGACCAGTCAATATGACTCACAAACTTCAGGGCTTTATGATAGTTAATAAATTGCATGTAAGACACCTCACAAACATCAATGGATTGTAATATAGATATGAGAACCCCTGGCATAGTGAACAAAAAAGTCTCCAAATATGAGTTACGCAAATTTAATTATATTTTATTTAAACAAATATATTGTGTGTCCTTAATGTCATATTATAGGGGACACATAGGAAATACTCTTTCTGCTTGAAAATTACTGCTTTCCATCTGGCTTGTCAAAATTAGAGTAGGAGTAATACTATATATATATATATATATATATATATATATATATATATACTTATATATTATTTATCATGAACAAATTTTCCCCTCATATTATCTTACCTAAGGAATTCAGGCACCTCTTAGGCTTTCAAGCTGATAATCTCTCAGGTAATTTCAATATTTCAATTCTGGTTTTATTATTACTATTGTAGACATTGATAACATGAAAATGATATTTAATAGATGTCATTACATAAATATCATAAAAATGGCAAAGAAAATATGCACTGTATCTTATAATACACCCTTTAAAAGTAGGTATATCCTGATACTGGGCAGTTTTTCTCAATTGTCACGGTAACTAAACTACTTACCACTAAGTTTTGCTGAAAGCTTTGGATTTCTGATTTTGTGGCAGGGCTTCCTGCTTTCTACTCTGTTTTTTTCCCAGACTGGAAAGGATACTCCCTGGTAAAACAGGCTATCAATTCCACGCATCATGACAGAGATCTGCCATTCCTGGACCTGCCTTGAGTATACTCATTGCCTAATACAGGAGTCAAAAATCTTTCTTTGATCTCTCAAAGTATTCATTTTTCTAGAATGGACATTTATAAATGATTGTGGACTGGCCATTTGGGAGTAACCATGTAACCTCTCTCTAAGCAGCTGTTTTGAGATTCCTCAGAGTACAAACACAACTCAAGGGCAACAGCTTGAATAGAAATTGTTATAAATGAAAAACAATTAATTCTCTCATGTATTCATTAAAGTCATGGCAATCATCTTTGCCCAGCATACAATGAAGAGATTAGCTTCTTTTCTCTTTTGGGACATATACAAGTGAATTTCAGTACCAGATTTTTTGTTAGGAATTGTGGGTATTGAATACTGGAAATCTGCTAAGAGAATAAGGACGTTTTACCACATACACATAAAAGTTGGTAACTACATGAGAAGATGATATGTTAATCAGCTTGACTAGCCATTCACTATGTATATGTATATCAACTTATCATCTTGTATACCTTAAATACACACAGTTTTAAATGTTCTAAAAATCAATAATCATGGTATTTTTATAAAATAACTAAAGGATTATATAAATAAATGTGACCAACTGGAAAGGAAGGAAGAAAGAAAGAAAGAAAGAAAGAAAGAAAGAAAGAAAGAAAGAAAAAGAAAAGGAAAGAAAAGATTCATACTGGGTGCACCTGGTTGGCTCAGTTGGTTAAGCACCTGACCTTTTTTTTAAAGATTTTTTTAAAATTTGTTTTTGAAAGAAAGAGTACTCAAACAGGGAGAGGGGCAGAGGGGGATGGAGAGGGACAAGCAGACTCCCCACTGAGCATAGAGCCCAATGCCAGGCTTGATCGCAGAACCTTGAGACCTGAGCTGAATCCAAGAGTCAGTTTCCCAACCCACTGAGCCATCCAGGCACCCCATGCATCTGACTCTTGATTTCAGCTCAAGTTATGATCCCAGGTCTTGGGATTGAGCCCCACATTGGGCTCCACACTCAGTGGGGAGTCTGCTTAAGGATTCTCTCCCTGTCCCACTGCCCTTTCCCTTTCTCTCTCTAAAATAAATAAATCTTTTTTTAAAAAAGAAAGAAAAACTCCGCAGAATGAAAAATGTTTATCTACTCACTGATATTGCTACAGAATCCACCTTCTTTAGCTGGCTTACTTAGGGCACTCTTGACTTCCTTGTTTCACAGGCTATAGATGATGGAGTTCAACAAAGGGGTCACAACACAGAAAAGCACAGAAACAAGGATATCTACATCTGAGTTGTAGCCTGCTTTGGGTTGTCATTGTTGAAGTCAGCTGTCCCAAATAAGGTCACCACCACAGTGAATTAGATGCCCAGATAAAGACCTTATTTCTGCCCTGAGGGAATCCTAAGGATGGCAGAGATGATGAGTAGGTAAGACATTGCAATAAACAGGCAAGGCTTCAGGCCAGTGGTGATGCTGGTGACATGGAACACAGACTCATTGAGAAAGATGTCTGAGTAAGAGAGCTCCAGGAACAGTGGGATATCACAGAAAAAGTGCCTGATCTGGTTGAGCCCACACAAAGTGAACATGACTGCCAGCCCTGAGTGTGTCACAGAATTCTCTAGGCCATGCAGGCAAGTTCCAGTCAACCAATACACACAGACCTTTGGAATCATGAGAAGCAGGCAGTTAAAGAGGTGGCAAATGGTACATAGCATTCATAAGTTATAACAGCCAACAAGATTTCCTCAGCATAGGTCATAGGAACATCTGAGAAAGGCAGCCCTCATATGACATGATCTTCTTCTGGAATAAGTTCACCAGCATGACCAGAATGGTAGCGGACTAGTAGCAGAAGTTCAAGAAGCTCAAGTTGCTAATGATATAATAGAGTGTGGAGGACAGGACTGACTCTGATTACTGTTAATGTGAAAGCACTTCCCAGAAGAGTTATCAGATAAATGATCAAGAAGACCAAGAATACCTTTGTAACTCAGGATGGTTGGGAAATCCTGGAAAGATAAATGAAGTGACCACAGTTCAATTTTCCATTTCTTTGAGTTCTTCTTAACTGAAATGAAAATTAGGAAAGAAAATAAAAAAACAATGAGATATAGTGACAAACACTGGAAGAGCTAACTAACTCTTACTCATCCTTTGGTGGATGAGATGGCATCTCTTCTAAATAGTGTGACACGACACTCTGAGACTGGAAAATATGCACTCCTCCTCACTGCTATGCTCCTTTGCCTTGTGTTTACTTGTCATGCCTATCACTGTTAGTTATTAGCCTGTGAGGCTCCCCACTGGTCTCTAAGTTCTTTTATCTCTTTTATCTCTCTCTTTAATTTATATGTGCGCTGTAAAACTTTTGTTAAAAGGAAGAAAGGAAGGAACTTCAGTCTTCAGCAGTAACACTGAAAAACAATGGCTGATGAGTTAAATTAGAACCCAGTACTTTCCCTCCCAACCTTCCTCCTCCCTGGAAAGAAGTTGCAATAACAAATTCTAACTTAGTGTGAGATAGCCTCCATGACTGTTGCCTCCTGGTGTTACTCACGTGAATTTACCATATTATATGGCAGAAAGGGTTTGTAGGAGTAATTAAGATTATTAGTTGCATGACTTTAAGATATGGGAATTATGTAGGTGGGACTAATCTAATCGCACAAATCCTTAAAAGCAGAGCAGAAGACAAAGTCAGAAATTTGAATCACAAATAGGATTCCAGGTGTC